TATAATATTGATTCAAGAATAATTATAGATTTGATGAATGTTATCTCACGAATTTAAATTTAGAATGTATAAATACAATTACATTATGACAAAAACAGTGTCAATTACTCTAATAAAGTATTATTTGTATTAATAACAGTATGGAACATTTATTTAACTTTTAAAAATTAAAATATAGTATAAAATATTATTTAAATGATAGTGAAAGGTAAGATACATTTATAGCCATCGACATTATATTGATCATTATATTATATTTTAATTTTTGTAACTATTTTTACACAGAAATCTTACGGATAAGTGCAAAAACTAAATTCTAAAACAAATATTATAGCGTCAAAAATCGTGAAATGCTAAACAAAAATATCCGAATAAAAAGCTGTCAAAGCCGAAAGAAAAGAACCGACATTATATATTTCCCGGGTTTTTTATCTTAAAATGTTTTCATCGTTTACATCTTTAATAGCGTTTTAGAAACTTATAGCCTTTTCCTTACTTATTTGCTTAAGTACAGATCTATTGTAAAATTTATTTAGTTCTTTCTAAATAAAGAATTGCATATATGCGACAGCAAGTTTATTTACAACTGCAAAGAAAATTTTCTTTTGATAATTCTATTGCCTTTATACAAGATGTTCTGGACATCTCTACAAGCTCTCCAGCCTTCCTTTCACATGATAAGTTAACTCTTGGTTTTTTTGTAAAGGGAAAAAATGCGAATTAGAATACAAAGGATTACGCCAACCTTCCGTTCAGTATTTCCATAGTCATAGCTCTCGACACGACGTCGCGGGAAGCTAAATCCTTAGCCACTGGCGCGTACTTCTCCATGAAGAACTGTCCCATAGAGTTGACGAGTTTGCCGCCTTCTCCCCGGCTACCCTCGGTTATAAGTATGCCACTTCCATAAATACCTACAGTGCAATAATCAATCAGTTAAAAGAACTTGAATGAGGGAGAATAAGAGTCCGCGAGATGTGTAACTGAGCTGAAAATACCGGTCGGGTGAAACTGAATGAATTCCATATCTTGCAACGGCAATCCTGCTCGACATGCAATTGCCATGCCATCACCAGTGCAGGCGTGCGCAGCGGTGCAGGAGAAGTAACATCTTTCGGCACCACCTGTTGCCATCACCTGCGAGATAATAGCTATTTTTATCATCAATATATCGATTTATTTGCGTTATTAGTATATTTTATAGTATTTCATAATTAATACATTAATATATGAAAAGTGAATAGTAATTAAGCATTGACGAACAAAAAAGGAAATAGTTTTTAATATATATTTAAGATTATTAATTATAAAATTGAAGGATGTATTTGCAAATTTGCTCATGAATGTTATCAAGCAGCAAGATACGATTTGACTAAAAATAGGAATCTCTCTCTTATTTGAAAAAAGGAAACATTAATTATAAATACGTGTATTAATAAATAATAATTACCTTTTTCTGTAAATTATATAGACAATAAATTAAATAAATATTGTATAACATTTTGTAGTTTTTTCTTACTGTATGATGACCTCTGAATCGGTGTAGGAGTCCGGTCTCCAATTCCCAAGCCAGAATACCTTTGCAACATCGACCGTGCATAAGTAAATCGAGGGCGAAGTACTCGATGAAATAATGCACGTCGTAGCGAAGACTCTGGCCGTAAAGGGTATGAAGTACCGCATGACCAGTTCGATCAGCGACAGCACAGGTTCGTCTAGCTTGTTCGCCTTTGCCAAATTTTAACGACTGGCCACCAAAAGCACGCTGATATATTTTACCATCTTCCGTACGACTAAAGGGACAGCCTACGAATTTTTTAGTATTTTTATTTAATATGATTTTTCTTGCTCGGATATGTTTATACAAATGAAGATAGGTCAAACAGGAACTTAAAAATAAGATGAACGTTTATTAAGATATTAAACTATAAGATAAAAGATGTGAGAGTTTTTTGCAATCATTAATATATAAAACGTTTCGACTTTACTTAGTCATCCTCGGCCATTTAGAGAAATTGTATAAGATTGAAACATTATTAATAACTTATTACAAATAAAATTAAATATTGGAAAGAATATAGAAAACTAATCAACGAAACCATATAAAAATTTATATAATAATGTGTGTGTGTTTTTTTTAATCTTATACAATTTCTCTAATTATTTAAATGGCTGAGTATGACTAAGTAAACGTTCAATATATTAATGATTGTAAAAGTTCTCACATCTTTTATGTTATAGTTTAATGTCTTAATAAACTTTCATCTTATTTTTAAGTTCGTGTTTGACCTATCTTCCTATGCATTTTTATTTAATATATATATATATATATATATATATAATATA